GGGGGGCGGGAGTGGGGCGGGGCCGAGGAGGAGCAGCCCCTGGGGGCGGCCATGGGGCGGGTCTGTCTCCTGTGAGGGACGGCGGGGACGGGCTTCTCCTCAGACTCCGTGTCGGCACTGGGGAAGCCCTTCACGGGTGGCTTTTGGTGATGCCTGGACCCCTGTGAGTTATAAGGCCGGAGTTCTTTGAGGTGGGGTGGCTGAAAGCTGAGTGGTTAAATGAACAACTTGTGAATGTCTTATTATGGGCTTTTTTTCGTGGTTTTTTTTTTTGTAGAGTCAAGGAAACAAATTAAGATTTTTATTTTTTTTTTTTTTTTTTTACTCAGGCACTGTCCCTGTCACCTTTTATTCCCCAAACCCTCCCAGGATTTGCTGGATGTGCCTTAAACAATCTCTGACCCCATGAGTTTATCACTTCAGTCCTTTTGAAGTTGTAGGCTAGTTGGGGGAGGGGTGCACCCAGGAGTTGATTGTTTCTTGTTTTGTGGGGCTGCATATTTAACTGTACGTGTCCTAGGATATCATATCAAAGAAGGTAGAGGCAAAGTCATGTAGCCCTGTGCTACAGCGAGGGAGCACCCATCTTAGCTCGGTGGGTTCTCTTGGTACAGGAAGACGTAACGCAGCCTTGTTGTGCCTGCCCCAAGCAAAGCCAGGGTAGAAGCTGTACGGATTTTTTCGGTATCTGAATTTTCTTGCAGGTCATCAGCTGCAAGCTATAAGCCTGACAAGGAGTGAGAGGCAGTATGGGGAGGAGGTGCAGCCTAGTTCAGCAAAGGTCACATAGCAGGTGAGTAGTAATTAGGACACACTATCTTGCCAGTGGGAATACATTACGGGTGTTTATCAGATAGAAGAAGTGGCTTTTTACCTTTCTAGATCTTGTTATCTCTCAATATGTGTTTATTAAGATTGGTAATGATACTATTGTCTTTTTTTTTTTTAAATCAGTCCATAGTGATTCCTAGAATTACTCAAGATCAGTGTACTTTAGGAAGATTATTGGCTTTTCTAAATTTATGCTGATTGCCCACTAAAGTCACTTAGTTGTGCAGAGAAGTGGTTACTTAAATTGCCCTTGTTTCTTAGCAGGATAGTGGGCAAAAGAGCTGCAAGATGAAGTGGCTGATTAGTTGGAAGTAGGGCTTAAATTCAATATTAGGAGAGTTTTGGAGCTTCACAATAAGAAGGAAGTTCAACTATCAAAGGAGTGCAGTTACAAAAGAGATCTTCAAACAAAATAGGGATTTTATGCGTGTTTATAGAACAGACTGTGACAGGATAGGAGGATTTGTTTGGTTTTGGATTTGGAAATGAGCGTCTGTGTTTCAATATGGGATCCTCAAATGGCTTTGAGGAATAGCAAAGGTTGATTTTTATTTTTATTTATAAGATTCCAGCAGGTAGGAAGGATTGCCTTGTTTTTACCTTCTGCTGCTTTTTTGAGCCATGCCTAGTTTTCTAGGGTTCTGTTCATTCTACCACCCTTCAGCCACTGTCTTTCTCTGCAGTATTAGGGATTTGTCATGGCTGAAACCTGGGTGGTGGACAGCTTGTGTGGGTCCTCAGTGGTACTGAGACATTCTGACTGTTACCAGTCTAAGCTCGATGGGTGTTGAAAAGGCAAAAACAAGACTTGTCTTGCCCGCTTCTCTTGTTTTTATTGTTAAGAAAGCCCCTCAGTTGTTAGGGAGGCTTTAGCTCCTGTTTTACTGTCACAGTTTCATGTTTGAGTTAAAACTATAGCTGTGGGAGGATAGTCATCAACTAATTCTTTGGAATAAAGAGGAATCTGATAAGAATGAGGAGGGAGATGAGATCTTGTGTGTGAGAATTTGAGATAGCCAAAATGTGGGTGGAGTTTTACATTGTTATTAGGAAGATTCAAGAGGTGCAGGAGCCAGTGATGAGGGTCTCTAGTCCTGTTCTAAATTTTGCAGTCAGACTGATTCAACAGAAAGTATTGTCTCTCTCTGGGGAGTTTGTTAGTGCTATGTCCATGATGGTTGCTGTACCCTACAGGATGCTGTGAGGGACAGGGGTGGTTGTGTTTGCTCCCCATGCTTATGGAAGTGTTTGGGTGTGGGTTTGGTTGCAGTTATAGCTAAGCTAAATAGTACTGAAGAAGTGAGGTGCTGGGAGAAAGGAGTCTTACTCTGCCAGTGAACAATCACAGATTTAAAGCTGGAGCATGTGCCTGAGTGAGGAATAAACCCGTAGTGATGTCTGGTCAGTTTTTTGCCAGGTTTCGGAGGTAGTTGTGATGATAGAGCAGAGTGCCGTGATTATGGATGGGTAGTCTGTTAGGAATTTAGTGTTGCATGTGACTCTGTTCTCCAGGCCATGGGTGGTTTTACAGTAAAGGCTAGGCATTTTTCCACTGTATCTGGGCATGTACGATTGAGAGAAAGCGGGGTTATTTAAAGAATACCTAAATAGAATGTCCCTTTTAAGTTTTGCATGCAGAAAAAGGTGATGGTTAGAGAGAAGCAGAAATTTGTTCCAGCATTTAAATGGTTTGCTTGTTTTCCCCATTGATAACCACCAAAGTTGGGATGGGGGTTGGGGCAGAGCGGAAGAAGAGGAACCATGTAGTTATAAATGTTTGGTTATGGTGTATGGTTTTTGGGGCTAATAGTACAAAGGGAAGATGTGAGCAGGGTAGGGCTAGTAGGGGAGTTGGAATATCATCTGCTCTTAAATAGTGATCTGATAAAAAGAGGTTGTAGAATCAGAATGGTTTGGGTTGGAAGGGACCTTAAAGAACATCTAGTTCCACCCCCCCTGTCACCTTCCATGAGACCCGGTTCCTCAAAGCGCCATCCAGCCTGGCCTTGGAACACTTCCAGGGCAGCCTGTGCCAGCATCTCACCTCCCTCACAGTAAGTAATTTCTTCCTAATAGCTAATCTAAATCTCCCCTCTTTCAGTTTAAAACTGTTATCTCTCATCCTATCACTACACTCCCTGAGTAAAGAGTCACTCCCATCTTTCCTGTAGGCACCCTTTAGGTACTGGAAGGGGCTATAAGGTCCCTCCAGAGCCTTC